AAAAAAAAAAAGTGAAGACACAACATAGAGGAAACCTGACAATCCCTTGGCTCCCTTTTTGTGCCTTCCTATTCAGAAGTCTTCTCTTCTTTGACTCCACAGTGAAAATAGCATCTCTTTGACAGCAGACAAAAATACTAACTACCGAGGATAAGGTAGAGAAAACCCGCTAAGTCAAGATGTGGCTAGAATTTATGCTGGTGAGTCTGCTCACCACGTCGGATGACTGATTCTCTACAGCCGAGCATTGACCATAACAGCTTCTCTGCTGGCCGAGGTCAGTGCTTAATGGTGATTGTTTTGACTTCAGTGAAAAATTCATAAGAGTCTTTGGCTCCCTCTCTGCCTATCCCGGAACTCTTCATCCCCCCAAAAGGGAGGTTCAGCTCTCTGATGAGCCAGCAGTTGGTCCAGACCAAGCCCGACTGCAGCTTCTTAGCCACTCGGTGGACACGGCCCACGTTGCTTGACCACACAGTTGCTGCCAACCCATATTTAACACTATTCGCTCTTTGAATCACTTCCTCCTCACTATCGAAGGGGACGACACATGTCACTGGACCAAATATCTCTTCCTTCATGCAGCAGGATTCATCCTTAATGTCTGTTATGACTGTGGGAAGCATAAAATATCCTGCTTGATTCTTGGGGGGGAGACTCAATGTATCCACCCCTTCACCACACAGAATTCGGGCCCCTTCGGCACGGGCTTTCTTGACGTAACTTCTGACCTGAGTGGGTAGAAACCATGATTAGCAGCACCTTACCATTTGGTTTTACACAAAGCAGCAGAAAATTCAATATTTTTGAATCATCTACATAAAACGTGTAAGGTCATTGCTAAGAACTCTAAAGCTGAGGGGCACCTGGGTGGCTCAGTCGGTTAAGCGTCCGACTTCGGCTCAGGTCACAATCTCATGGTTTGTGAATTCGAGCCCCACATCGGGCTCTGTGCCGACAGCTAGGAGCCTGAAGCCTGCTTCAACTCTGTGTCTCCTTCTCTCTCTGCCCCTCCCCCACTTGTGCTCTGTCTCTATCAAAAATAAATAAATGTATAAAAAAATTAAAAAAAAAAAGAACTCCAAAGTTGACTACCGTATTGCTCAGCTGCTAAGCCAGAGGGCAGAAGTGCTCTGACCATCATTTGGGCATCCAGCCCTCATACGTTAGAGGAGAGGAGTCATTTATTTAATGTCTACGTGCTGGGCACATGGATAAACGCTTTTCAGACATTCTCACTTAATTCTCTCAAAACTCTATCAGCTATGTATTATTATCCCCTCTTTGCTGACAAAATTGAGCGTCAAAAAGGGTAGATGGTCCATACAACGAATAAACAGGAAAGCCAGAATCCACACTCCGGTATAATCGGTAGTTAAATACACAAAAGAATAGTTGCTCGCTTTTGGGAGGGACTGTGTCCACTGCAGAATACGGGAAGTTGAAGGGTGTATAAGATTTCATTAATGGCCAAGATAGCTAGGCTTCCAGAACAAATAATTTCTAACTTCTAGTCTCATTACTAATTATATTCTAAAAATATATCTAGGCAATAAAGTATAGCTAACTATAATGGGAAATAAATTATGTAATAAGTAAACCCAGTGACTCGGGGACAATGACAGATGTTTACTAATAATGGTTGTAGAAATGACTCATTATAAAATGATACATATGGTTATGTCTGGAAGGGTTGTTGCGGTCACAACATTATCCTGCCCCTGAAGGGTATGATAAGCATAGAAGCCATAGAAAAGTAATCCCCCAACTTAAAAGCGTAGAACAGCAGTGAGGCGGTCCATCAAAGGCTGGGTACATTGAAATCATACTTTGGCTTCTTACTTATCACCTATCTATCTGAGCATTCTGCCCCAGTATCAGATTAATATTTCATCGTAGAACTGTATTCAACGTAGAGCTATGTGTTCACTCTGTAAAAATAAAAAGGTAATGTTATTTTATGGTTCGTTTTGCTCTAGTTTATGGAACACTTAATAAGCCATGAAGTCAAACACTTTCAAAAAATAGAACATTTGGAACAGCTCTGCATTCCAAGCTGCTACACCGTTCCTCCCCAACCCGTGCAGGGATCTCAGTGTTCTTCCTGAAAAGCCCTAGTCTAGTTCGTGGGTGGAGACTAAATGAGGTCTGGACTTCTCCTTCCTCCTTCCCGTATTCTCTTATTCCTCTGGAAGCAACCCCCCCAGATTAAAACATGCCAAAGGTCGTATCCTGCGTGAACAGGAGAAGTTGAGGCAAAGGTCCCCAGGGGCCCCTGCTGGTCACAGGACCAGAACTTTCTTCAGTGATTCAAACTCAGAGCGTTCTGGCTTTAGTTTGTCTCCTCTACCCAGAATTTCATGATTATCTATCTCTTAGAGGTTCTTGGCTCTAAAACGTTAAAGCGTCGGTTTTCAAACTGTGACCTTTTCAAGATATTTAATGTATAAGATGACTCACACTAAACTGAATTTCTTTTCTGGGGAAAGTATTACTGGATGATAGACTATCTATACTAGAAGCTCAGGAACTGAGATTTTCAGTAAAATCTGAAAAAAGAAAACAACATTGTGACTGGTAATATGCCATAAAATGTAATAGACTATTATTACGAAACTTTTTTGAGAACAGAGAGTAGTTACTACTTCGTAGCTTTGCACGTAAATCAGAGCACAGAGGGCAGATGGGTGTGCTGGGGAGCCCAAGTGTTCAAATCCCAGGGCCTCCGCTTACTCGCGGAGAGATTTCAAATGCTCTGTGCCTCAGTTTCCCTCTGAAAAATAAGATTAACATTCCCACCCATTCCTAGGATTCGAGAAAATCATGCATGTGAAATATTTAGCGTGACGCCCGGTACGCAGTAAGTCTTATGGATGCCAGCTGCTCTCGGTGCTGTTGGTGAAGAAGGAGATGGTGTAACACACGATCTGATGCTTACTGGCTACGAGACTTCAGAGATGCTCCCACCCTGCAGGTCGGGTTTTTTTAACCTGACAAAAGAAGACAGGAAACTGCCAAAGTGGACCTTTGTTAGGCCTGAAGCCTGGCCCTGTCGGGGGATGCACCAGCCAGGATCCCCTGCGCTTCCCCCAGCCTCACTGTCAACACTCAACAATTCCGTCTCCAATTACCCGCATCTTTGGGGAGGCTGGCATATAGCCAGATTCTCCAGACAGTCAAGTGGAAAAGAATTCAAGGGGGTAAAAAAGAAAAACAAAAGTGAAAACAAACAGCAACGCCGTGCAATAGGCGAAGAGCCTTTTCTTCACTCCTGGAGGACAGAGTCTCCTGCAGCTACCTATGCATCCCCTGGGTCTCTGGGAACCTGAAAAGTCACAGGTCCTCTTAGGAGCATGCTGTGTCTCTGTGGGTTCTGAGTCCTTTGCCATTACAGGACAACCTCGACATATTCTAATGGGATTCTTCTGTCCCTGAATCGCCACCTATCGCGACAGCCACATAGAAGTAAGATGGGCACAGACGCTGCAGGGCTAATTTGCAGGGGACAAAGACCCCAGACGCTGCAGGGCTAATTTGATTCGGCAAAGATATAGACAAACTGCAGAAGAAAACAAAGAGGGCAGCCAGACCTTCCTTAGCACGCAGCCCCCCAAGCTTTCCAGTGACAGGGGAGGAAAGATGCCCACCAGTGGGACGTGTCCGCTGCCTCCTCCGTCCCGGAGGGTTTGGCATACTGGACTGAAAAGAGTCCCACCGGAAAGGCCACATTTACACTTCCCTAGCTGCTCCCATGAGCTCCCCGTCAAGGGCAGAGGTACCCAGGGCCTTCGCACAAGAAGTGATCTGAAAGCACCCGTCAGGGGTCCACCTGGTGGGAGAGTCAGAGAGGGACGCTGTGATTCCTTGCATCTGGGCACACTCGCTCCACGTGGAGCAGTGACGATGGCAGACATCCAGGAACCCTCTGAGCCCCCGCAGGATTGCCCTAAGGCTTCACAAGGGGAGGAAACGTAAGTCCACCTGAGGGGCGCTCTACACGAGGAAGGAGGGACCACAAACAAGAGAGACTCCATAGACAGCAGCAGGTCGATACATGGTGGGGTAATGGGAATCACATCTTTAGTGTGCTTCCCTAGAGAAATCAAAATAAAATAAATTGGCCAACGATAAAAAACTATTTTTTTTAATTTTTTAAATGTTTATTTTTGAGAGAGAGAGAGAGAGAGCGCGCGCAGGAGGGGCAGAGAGAATCTGAAGCAAGCTCCAGGCTCTGGGCTGTCAACACAGTCCGACATGGGGCTCAAACTCACAGACTGCGAGATCCTGACCTGAGCCAAAGTTGGGCGCTTTAACTGAGACACCCAGGGACCCCTTTTTAAAAACTTTTTAACTGTGTATACAAAATCTTTCTCCTTAAAAGCAGTAGGGTCATGGAACTTCCTAAAATGAGTGCAAAATAATTAACTTTATTTTATTTTAATAAGGAAAGTAGCTGAGAAATTATTTTCTCTAAGGATCGAGGAGAAAATTAAGAGACGTTGGCTGAAAAGTCTGCAGTTTGGCTATCGGTAATGTGCTAACGTCAGTTTCTTGGTGTGGACAGTTGCACGGTGGACATGTAAGACGGTAACAAAGGGAAAGCTGTGTGAGTGGATATAGAAACCATCTGCCTTCTCTTTGAGATTTTTCTATAAATCTTAAGTTATTCCAAAATAGAAAGTTTATTTTTTTCTTAGTTATTTGACGGAGATAGAAAACATTCATGATGGTAAAAATATTCGGGAGTGTTCGAAAACTTCTGTTTGAAAGATAAATACGTGCTTATGTTTGAATGCGGTCAGGAAAAAACTGGTAACTGTACCCGTCACCATTTTCAGGGTTATTCATGGAACCTCAGTAACTACCTTGAAATGATAGTAAGAAAACAAAATCCAACTGCCACGTTAAATAAATGCCCGTCTTGCCAGCATAATTTGGTTTCACAGAAGATGGCATTTCTGGGCGCCCATACTGGGCCTAAAACCTTGTCAGTGGCTCAAGTCTTGAAAACAAACTAAAGATCACGCATGGTTTAGGTTAGGATTCTTGCCCTTTGTCCACAGCTTCTGTGGCTACGCTAGAAGCCATGGGGATCTCTCCCGCAGAACCATTTCACACATTCTCCCCTCCTCACCCTGCTTCCTGCTTCACTGGAGAAAACAGAAGAAATAAGAAGAGACCCTCAAGCTACTACACCCTCCATTATGTGCATCTCTGCTTCACAATATTGTAAAAGTCAAAGTTAAAATGCAGTTAATCTGCCACATCTGTGCAATGTCAAAGATTTCCAGAAACGTAGGTAAAGGCCCTGTCCCTCAGAGGCTAACTGACGGGAGCGTATCTTCCTTGGTGGCCCTCAGTCACCACAGCTGAAAACAAGGTCCCCTAGCCCCCAAATTCTATGACTTCTTTTGGGAGTCACATCAGGTAATAAGTTAAAATGGCCTTAAAGACCTAAATGCCACCAACCACCCAAAGACCATCGATGGCTTCTCCCACATGGACCACCACTCACCTTACCAATTACGAACCACCTAATTAGGATCATGCATGCTGGCCCTTCCAGAGTCCTTTCCACTGGGAACTTTTATCTATGGAAACTCCTGCCTCCCTTACTCCGCATCATTCTTATTAGTGACCTTTATGTTTTGAAATTTGACTTCCTCGCTCTTGATTCTATCTCCATGCTGACCTCCTAGATTCATTCATTCCGTGTAGATGCTGCTTTAACTTGGACTACATTTGTGTATTCATATCTAATATTTCAGAGACCATTTCCTATACAGGTCCGAACGCTTTAGGAATAAGGCAGTAATTAACAACATTTCAAACCATGGATGTGTGCTGTGTCCTACACTGAGCTTATGCCCAAACTCACATTGCACAGATGTACTTACTTTTTCCAAATGAGCTTTACTTATCAGAGCTCCCATGCTGGCCGATGGATCGGAGGGAATGCCAACTTTCCACATTCTGGTAGCTGCTACAAACTTCTTCAAAAATTCACTATAGATGCTCTTCTGGACAAAGATTCTGCTGGTACAGAGGCAGATTTCACCCTGCCAAGAATGACATGTGAGGACAATGACAAGACACCCTCCTTCGTGGATAGGTCAACGCGGCAATTGTGAGCACCTGGCAGTGGCCAGGCACTGGTCTAGGCAATGGGAGACGGTGACAAACCAGACAAAGTCCCACCATGAGGACCACAGCGGTGTGCGAGGCAAGGCAAGACAGCGTGAGCAGGGCTGAGCGGGAGGGTAGGCAGGAATGGGGTCGGGGAGGGTAGGAAATAAGGGCAGGAGGTGAGGAGCAAGGCAGTATCATGCAGCCTCACAGGCTCACAAGGAGCTTGCACCTTGCTCCTGGCATCATGAAAAGACCGTGGAAGCCTTTAAGCTTTAAGCAGCAGGATGATGTGATGGGGTTCACGTTGTGAAAGGATCCTCCCAGCAGCTGTGTGGAGAATAGAACGGAAGGGAATGCGAGCAGGATCAGAGTAGAATTAAGAGAGTATTCCAGAAGTCCAGATAAGTGGACGTAGCTCGGACCAGGGCAGGCCCAGTGGACATGAGAGAAGTGGTAGGCGTCCACTGATGTTCCCAGACTCGAAAAGGGACATGGGACCCCAAAAGTGCAAGGAAACTGGTATAGATGCTCTGCAGAACAGACGGGTTTCAGGATGTATCCTAATAATTGCCAGGCGCCTGGGTGGCTCAGTCGGTTAAGTGTCCAGCCTCAGCTCAGGTCATGATCTCTCGGTTCACGAGTTTGAGCCCCATGCCTGGAGCTCAGAGCCTGGACAGCTGTGCTGACAGCTCAGAGCCTGGAGCCTGCTTTTATTCTGTGTCTCTGCCTCCCTCTGTCTCCCTCCCTCCGTCTCTGCCTCTCCCTCATTTATGCTCTGTCTCTCCCTCAAAAACCAAAACCAAAACCAAACAAAAACATTAAAAAAAAAAAAAAACTGAACCGACAAGACTGGTTGATGGGTTATTGAGACAGAAGGAAAAGAAAGGGTAAGAATCAGGGTGGCTTCCAGGTTTTTGATGGAGCCGCAGAGCAGATGATAGTGCTCTTCCCTGGGAAGGCGAGTCCACGGCAGGGAGAAGATCAGCACTGCAGGGAAAGGAGAGGGAGGGAAACCGGAAGTTCTGCTTCGCACAGGTAAGGCTCAGACGCCTAATCGTCACCCAAGCAGAGGCACTGAGTGTCCTGGGCTGAGGTGCTAACAGGTGCCTGAATGAAAAGTCATCCTTACTCTCATTTGGCTACGCCATGCAATCGTTCACAAACACCATTCTAGACACATCAAAGCATTATATAGGTTTGACAAGTACACATACGCATGAACAACTATTTTTGTCACATTTATATTTGCTTGACCTTCACAACCATCCTAACAATAGAACGTTTCTAATTATCTTGTTAGTTGTGCAAAGATGCACTGTCCAAATTAAACACTCACTGTTTGGGAGCAATAAATTCTCTCTGCCAGCCAGGATCACGGTTAGAACCATCTGCCTACCTGGCTTGGGAAATATCCCAACACGAGTGCCCTCCGCCACGTGCGGGAGACAGGGGAGAGAGTGGTAAAGAGATCTGAGGGGTTAACCAGTCAGGGTTTTCCTGACTACTTAGTGCCAGGAAAGCATAGGTGAGACTAGCGTCCCTAGTGGCATGACTTGAGAGGAAATAAGAGAAGGGAAATCTTATTGATTGAGTGCCCATTGTGCGCCAGGCACAGCGCGGATGCTTTCCTCATAATACTCCTGTGGTGTACCAGTTTTCCAGTTCAGAATTAGGAAGTGAAGTTTGAGCAAACACAGGCCCAAGGCCCCCAGGCACAGGAAGTTTCAACTTCAGTCTGAGTGATGTTGAAGTCCGAGTTCGTTTCTTCCGAGTCCCACGGCGTGTCTTAAGTATGAGTGTGCCCCACTCCAAAGGAGAGTACACACGGTGGAGATGTTTCGAAGGAGCCCGTTGTGTCCAGTTGAGGAGGAAGTGCTCACTATGTGGGACTCATCTCTCGGCCAAGGAAAAAGAAATCAGCCCCTCTATTTTGCCTAAAGTCTATTTGTTGTCTCGAATTAGCCAGTTGGGTTCATGTCCTTTCCCACCGGCATTTAAAATACACGCCCCCCCCCCCAAGAGGAAGGCTGTCTGAGCATTTCAAGTTCTTGCACAGTCCTTCTGTGCACTCAGAGTGCATTTGCCACCATGCAGAGGCCACTGAACACCCCCTCAACTATGTCTCAGGCCACGGTTTGTCCCCCCACCGCACTGTTGTCACTAAGCCACCCAAATGCTCGATTTCATTGTTCGTTTCGATCCTTGTTTATTTTAATGATTAAAATAGCTGTATCATAAAATTGCAAGTCTATTTTCTCAAATCTGAAATTGAAGTCTATTGATTCAGAAACACTCTATACACACAGATATATCTGTATATAGAGGTGCGGACAGAGATACGTAATCAAACCACTTTCTCTAAGAATTACTGCCAGAGAAATCATTAAAATTGTAATGATCCTGAAAAACCACCGTCAAGAATGTTTTTCGTTCGACACTCATGAAAACCCTACTGGAAGGCATCATTCTTGCTTCTGTGATTTTACAGGTAAAGAAACAAAGGTTCAAAAGGCTTTGCAGTTTATTCAAGTTAAATAAAGATCTATCTCATTCTACTCATCCTTCTATGACAGTTCTCTTTCATTAATTCTTTGCCCTCTGCTAATTTTTTTTTTTTTTTAAACAGACCCTTTGGAGAGGGGCGCCTGGGTGGCTCAGTCGGTTGAGCATCCGACTTCGGCTCAGGTCGTGATCTCACAGCTCGTGAGTTCGAGCCCCGTGTCGGGCTCTGTGCTGACACCTCAGAGCCTGGAGCCTGCTTCTGCTTCTGTGTCTCCCTCTCTCTCTGCCCCTAACCCACTCACATTCTGTCTCTGTCTCTCTCAAAAATAAATAAACATTAAAAAAATAATAAAAATAAAAATAAAATAAAAACAGACCCTTTGGAGAAAATCATTCAGTATTTTCGTATACCTGTTGAAGGTCAAGTGTGCCCCCAAAGCAGGTACAGGTGTCCTCTTTGTGATGCTTCCAGTCTGGTCTATCTGGGCTGGTTTTCCTAACCCTTTGGGATGCCATCGAAGAATTTGCTAAAAACTGTCGCCTCCAGAAAAACAACTGTTTACACAATTTCAGGAGATGAAAAGTTGCCATGACTCCATGACACCCATGACTCCAACATAAGAAAGGTGCTCTAGGCTGGTTTAGGCATTTATTTCTAAGTGTGTGGTGCATTTAGGATGCTTTGGGGGAGCAAAGGTTCACTGGAGATAGGACATTGAGACAGCGAGAAGAGAAAGGAGTGACTCTATGAATTAAGGGAGAGAAAAGCTTGGAGTAACAAAAAATCAATCATTTTGCCCATGGCCAGTACCTGACAAAAAGCTGTGACTCAGAAAGAGGAGCTTGCTAAACAGAAGCTGTGACTCTACAAGACCACAGATGGACATTGAGATAACACAGACAGTCAGCGGAATAACACAATGTAACAACCTCTTCTCACTGAAATAGCACCAGATTGACCGGCTCACTCCTGGCTTTGTACTGTGATGAAAGAGATCCAGTCTGACAGGGTCACAGAGTTTAAAAATAAACAAACCAAAAATGAAACGAAACAAAATAAAAACAAACAGAGCAACCCAGAGGACGTACCTGGTTGGCAAAGCTGGACCTGACGGTCGTGGGAATGCACTCCTCCAGGTTGGCATCCTCAAAGATGATGGCGGGGTTCTTGCCCCCCAGCTCCAGGGACAGCTTCTTGCAATGGGGAGCACTCAGCTGGGCGATCCGCTCGGCGGTGGGCTGGCTCCCCGTGAAGGAAATCAGGGGTACCTCTGGATGGGACACCAGGGCCTCGCCTACCTTGGGCCCCGTTCCAAACACAATATTTACCACACCTGGTGGAACACCTGGATGGGACACAGTGACAGTTACACTAATTCTTCTCGGTATGTTGAGAACTTCCGTTACACAGACATTCTCTTGGAAAGTCCAATAGCTTGAATGGGTGGGAGGAAATGTCTATGGCCGCCTCTAGTTTAACAACAAAGTTCCATGAGCTTTGCCTTAGAAAAACGAAGAGTAGAACATTCTCTCTCTCTCTTTGTTTTAATGTTTATTTATTTATTTTGAGAGAGAGAGAGAGAGCCAGCCAGTATAGGGAGAGGCAGAGAGAGAACCCCAAGCAGTCTCTGCACTGTCAGCGCAGAACCCCATGCAAGGCTTGATTTCCCAGACCGTGAGATCTTGACCGGAGCCGAAATCAAGAGCGGGACGCTTAACTGACTGAGCCACCCAGGCGCCCCGAAGATTAGAACATTCTAATTAATTCATTCCATAATACTGACTAGGCATCAGGGGCTGAGGACGCAGAGATATCCTCAGGCAGGTCAGGCCCTCTAAGGGAGAGAAGCCCTGCTCTTAGCTGGCATCCAGAAGTCACCACGCAATGTGAACACGTTAAGTAGAGGGAAGAAGAGATTAGACTATCCTGGCCCAGGGACGTGAGGGAGGCTCCTCTGGGAAGGTGAGTATTGAGTTGAAGGTCCTGTGTCTCATAATATGGACATACCATTACACTCCTGGACTGACGTAAAATACCAAGGACACCCGAACACGGGTGCCCCAATCTTTCTATCATGAGACCCTACCTTCCTACATTTGCGTGTATTTTTTTTTTTTTTTTATGTGTTTATGGCTTTCCTTGTTTATTACCTATCCAACCCTGGAAGGCACACTAAGGGCAGAAATGGTGTCTGTGTTTTGCTCCCCACCCTGTTCCCCTTGCCATGGCCTAGTTTGCCATATAGATTAACACTGCTAAATGCTCACATTCACTGTGGGTCAGTTATTGCTGCAAGTGATTTACACCCTTCCCATCTCCCAACAACTGATGATGCAGGTAGGATTTAATATCCTCACCTCACCCAAACTGAGGCAAAGTGAGGTTAAACGGCAACCATTACGAGGCAAAACCGGGTGCGGAAGATTAATAAGCAATTAAGTGAATGAATGAACAAATACTTAGCATACATTATCCAAATCAGAAATGGTTCTTGACTTTGTTTGAAAGCTTTAAGTGTCCAGAAAGAAAATCTGTGTGCAATTGTGATGTGTCCAGGAAGCTCTTAGGTTTGCTTGGAGGTAGCTGGATGTATTGCCTGTATTTCTTCAGCCTTGAAATGCAACAGAGGCAGAAAACCTCCAATGTGTAAGGTTCTTGAACTACCCTGCTGCTAGGATCTTTTTTCCGTCCAGGTTGGCCATTCTCTCCTTCAGAGAAACATACTCCATGGGATTACAACCATCTCTTCAAGAATATGCTTTTAAAGTATAAATAATAAGTTCTCATCAATGATCCATTATCATCGCGAACACCTTCCTGTAGAGCCAGTCTTAGCCTGATCACTTGAGGGGATAAACGAGGCCCCCTTCAGGTGAGCCTCAGGGACAGGTGTGAAGAATCAACGTGGCATCTGACAAAGCATCACCTCTAATGGCCCCACTGTTACAGTCACATGCACACTTATTGAAACCTAGTCTGGCTCGATCCTGGATCACAGGTCACTGCCACAGAGGGCAGACCCAGGGCCAGACACCATGTGAATGCAGGTGAGCCCTGCGTTGGGACAAAGAGGAGGTTCAGGAGGGGGGGCCCCATGGAGGCTGAAACAAGGACAGGTTCCCCATCGTTTGCAGGAAGGGGTCTTAATCTCCATCAATTATTACTGGGCATGTGAATATTTGCCCAATATTTTCTTTCTTTTTTCTTTTGAAATGTTTATTTATTTATTTTGAGTGACAGACAAGACAGCATGAGCCGAGGAGAGACACAGAGAGAGGGACGCAGAATGCAAAGTGGGCTCCAGGTTCTGAGCTGTCAACACAGAGCCCGACGCGGGGCTCGAAGCCACGAACCCACGAGATCATGACCCGAATCAAAGTCAGACACTTAACTGACGAATCCACCCAGGCGCCTCTGCCTGATGTTTTCTGATTGGAGTTTGGGGGCAAGAGAAGGTGGGCTATTGGTCAGGCTTTATAAATCCTGAAGACAAAAATGGATCAAATCCCTTCTAACGTTTACGATAGCATTTTAACGAAGAGTGAAGAAAACTTAGAAACACCACACATTTATAACCCAGGAAAGTGGGCTCATTTCTTCCAGGCCAATTGCCTTCTACACAACGGCGCGAACACTTTACATTTCCTTGAGCTCTGGTGTTAATATGTTAAGAGCTACGTACTGGCCATTATTTCTCAGTACCAATTTGCCATTTGATGGAGGCAGTAATGAAATTTTTCTAGAGACACCAGCCCTCTACCCTTAAGATATTCTGGTTATCAAAGGAAGAAGGCAGCCAAGTCGGCAAATACCAATTTGAGAAACCTCAGAGTAAGTGGCTAACAGACAAGAAAGGGCACAAGGTCCCTCCCATGCTAAGATGCGGCAGGGTGGCAACAAGCTTAAATTGGGCAGAACAAAAATAGGAAGGCCAGGGGTGCCTGGGTGGCTCAGTCGGTTGAGTGACTGACTTCAGCTCAGGTCATGATCTCATGGTCTGTGAGTTCGAGCCCCGCGTCGGGCTCTGTGCTGACAGCTCGGAGCCTGGAGCCTGCTTCGGATTCTGTGTCTCCGTCTCTCTCTGCCCCTCCCCCACTCATGCTCTGTCTCTCTCTGTCTCAGAAATAAATAAAGATTAAAAAAATTTAAATAAAAATAGGAAGGCCAGAAATCCGCTTTCAGTAGACCCTCCAAGAACGAGGGCAAACATTTGGTGCCCCCAAGAAGAAGCGAATACTCTAGGACTTGCAAAGAGTTACTCACTGCGTCCTTTTTAAATGATTGCACTTCACAGGAAGGTCATCTGCCAAGTCTGTTTGAAGGCTCAGGACTAGAGGACTGGCTCTTTAAATACCCAGAACACACCAGCAGGTCATTTTAGCTTTCTTTTTCTTACACCATTAAAAGTGTCTCTTACATAGTCTCAGTGGAGAAACTGAGGGCTTAAGGCAGGTGCAATTTGAGGGGTGCCTGTGTGGCTCAGTTGGTTAAGCATCCAACTCTTGGTTTAGGTTCAGGTCATGATCCCAGGGTCATGGGATCGAGCCCCGCATCGGGCTCCGCGCTGCACATGAAGCCTGCTTAAGATTCTCTTTTTCCCTCCCTCTTCCCATCTCCCCTGCTTGTGCCCTCTCTTTCTCTCTAAAATAATTTTTTTTAAGGTGATATTTGAGCCTTATGCTCTCAGTGGGCCAGAGGAGGGAAGTTCAGCAAAACCAGCCCAGCCTGGGAAGGAGAGAAGGACCACCTTGGTATAGTCAGCTTATTTGTTCACAAGAAAGAAGATCACTGCTGTGCAAATACATGGATACATAAACCTCTCATGCAGACCAGGTTCTGGGTGTATGGAAGGGGAGAGTACTGAGGGAAAGGAATCATCCTAGATCAAGACGTAGTTGACTTCAAGAGAGCACGGTTCTGGGAACACAGCTCTGTGGCCCATGCCCCCTCCATGCGTTCCCTCCCCGACATGGGTCACAGCAGAGCCTAGGTCCCACTTCTGTTCACCCGGGGGACCTACAGTCAACAGGCAGGGAAGAACTGCCTTGGACCCCCGCAGACACTAGGCACTTAGTTTTGCAAAGAACGGCATTAGAATGTGATCTCTCCTGGAAGGAAGGAATGACAGACAGGTGGGGCGTGGGAGAGGTCACCATCTTTCTATCACACACCCTCCAGGAGCCTAGGGCATCCGTAAATGTCACCTCAAAGACTGAGGATGGAGGGCCTCATTCCTCTGTACAATACAAGGGAAATGGGCAGCTAGACTAGGGTCATAAGGCCACCGTTCAACCTGCCATCTAAACCTTGGAGTCAAGAACTGGCTCAACTTCTTTAGAAGCCAATATGTATATTTTTGCTTGGAGAGATGAGATATCCAGAAGGGGGAGGGATGGGCTCTTTCCAACCACCTACTTCACAGATATGGGTGAGCCCAGCTACCTTCTCTGTGGGCTTGAAGGATGTATGCACAGCGGAGACTGACAGAAAGACAGCCTGTTTCCCACCATCACCCATCATCCCAGCCCAGAGTATGTATGGAGACCTGAGCTGAGGGACCTAATAGCGAGGGGCTTTCCTGTGGGTTATAAGCTGGGGCCTCCCGATGGTTCCCCTCTAACCCTGTGCCCATGCTGAGTTATACCCCAGAATGTAACCAGGAACATACCTTGAATGTGACCATTATACTATTCACAAAAAGAGGGCAAGGAGGGGCACCTGGGTGGCTCAGTTGGTTGAGTGTCAGATTTCAGCTCAGGTCATGATCTCACAGTTCATGGGTCTGAGCCCCGCATCGGGCTCTGTGCTGACAGCTCAGAGCCTGAAGCCTGCTTCGGATTCTGTGTCTCCCTCTCTCTGTGTGTCCCTCCCCCACTTGTGTCCTCTCTCTCTCTTTCTCTCTCTAAAATAAATAAACATTAAAAAAAAAAAAAAAAGGACAAGGAACCATATTGCATCAGCTTCCACATAGTGGCTCCAAATGCTGGCGAAACTAAGGGATATATATTCAAATCTCTTGAAAATGGGCTATTTTGAGCAGTTACTCTATAACCATACAGAAAAGTGCCTAACGGTAGCCTTATTTTCATCAAGGTTAACACGAAGTCCAAACAGAAGATTTAAATTGACCATTGAAGACACTCTCTGGGGCCCGCTGCTGTCGGGCTTGAGGCTCCCCGATTGTACAAGTCTCTGTACTGCCTGCCCCCTGCTGGCGGAAGGGTTCCTGCAGCAGCTCGGTACACGGGCAAAGAGAGGAAGCAGTGTGATGAAAGGGGTTTCTCGGGAAAAGCTCAGGGAGACAACAAGCAAAGATGTCGATGGACTCGATCTTGCTCTGAGCGGATTTCCATCCAAAATAACTTTTCAAACGTCAGCGACGCGGAGGTGGCCGCAGCCCGCAAAACTCGCAACCCCAAAGCCGCCGATCCCGTGCCTCTCGGGACCCGCAGCTAAATCACCTGCTGTCTCCAGGAGTTTGCACATCATCCAGGCCGTCACTGACGTCAGCTCGCTGGGCTTGGCTATGACGGTGTTGCCGGCAGCAATGGCCGGAGCCACCTTCCAGGTCAGCAAGTAGAGTGGCAAATTCCAGGGGCTGATCAGACCAGCTGCAAGAGGACAGAAGCACCTTCAGCAATGGCATGCCCCTCAAAGCAGGCTGGCCACACTGGGTTTCTTCACGTGGAGCTCCTCCCTCCTGCATCAAAGTGAAGCTTACTCTTCTAAAAATCCCCAATTCTGCTATTGGTAGCCACCTTCAGGAAAAGAATTCTGAAACGTATCATACGCCATTGTGCCTCTTCAAACTATAAACCCATACAATTTACTCTTTTCTTGATGTCATAACAATTGTATTGATGAACAAACAGCAATATAAGTTCTAGGACCAAGAGGCTGTCACTTGTCACTAAACAGTTCCAGCTGTGATGAGTTTTGAGATTTATAGTCCGATGTTCACATTTTTTTAAACCTCTCTCTCCTTCATCATCAAACTGTGTAGCTCCTACTTAAGGTTTTCCATCACTGTTTCTAATCTGTTGTGGATTAAGACATAAAGTCTCGAGCTTTTTAGAATTATTTGTAAAATAAGATTAAATCAGTAATGAGCGTGCCCTGTGGGGGCCTCCTACTAGTAAGGCCGATGAATTCTGATGCATAGACTGCAAAATCCATTTTGGCGAGCCAGGGCATTTTTTAATAAAAAATTCTCTCTAGGTTCTCACCTGTATCATGAGCAGATAGGATTGCTAAACAAGTGATAGAACCAGCATCTAGAATTTGTTCCCATGCAATACTGAAACCATGTGTAGGCTTCCAACCATAAAACACACACACACACACACACACACACACACACACACACACAATCTACCTTATGAATAAGTAAATGGATTCATTTTATTTTATACTCTTCCCTCAAACCTGTGCTGTTAAAGTTAACATACACTCTATATTATTATATTTCTCGTTGGAAAATCTTTTCTTTAGGGGATAACAGTATTTTTTCAGCATTGTATATCATCATGCTTCTTAGTGGAAGGTTTGAGCTTCTCCTAAATGCCTTCAAAATGTGATTTCCAAAGGGTTCAAATAATCAAAGTGGTAAAATATCCCATTTTCTTTCCTTTTAATTTATTTTATCCTGTCATAAAATGTAATAAGTATGGGAGGTTGGTGGGTTTTTTCCTCGGAGGAACAGTGACACCTAGTGGATATTTTGAGACATTGCTCATATTTATATGTCCTCCAAAAGGAAGCAAGAAGCTGCCCATTCAGTCAAGACTCACTTATCTGGCACTGTTCTAAGTGCCCTACACTTACTAATTCATTTAATCCATGTTAAAATATGTAAGTATAAAATTAAACTATTCTCTCAGTTTTTCAGATAAGAATCGTGAAATATACAAATGTTAAGAAACTGACCCTGCACATATCCAAAATCCATGCTGTTAACTACAAACCTCTCTGGAAAGAAACTTTTTTTTTTTTTTAGTTGTATGGGGGGAAAATCTTTGTATGTGAATTTCCTCTCGGTATTATTCTTTTCCTGGTAATTTCCCAGGAACGATGTTTTCGGAATAAGCGGGGAATTTGACACAAAGAAAAATAACCTCGAAATAGATTTTTGAGGCCCATTAATTTTCAGTCCAAGTAGAAGAAATCATCTCTTTCCTTTTTCTGGGTCTGTTCCCTTAGATCGGTGCTGCAGGACCGACGGGGCGTCCCTCGGCACCAACCCAGTGCAGGCTTTCACCCAGCAGCACCTACCGATCCCCACGGGGGCCCGCAGGGTGTAGTGCAGACAGCCTACGTGGTCCATGTGTGTGCACTCTGATGTGTGGTGCAGGATGGAGGAGGCGAAGAACCGGAAGTTCTGCACAGACCGGGGGATGTCCATGGTTCTTGCCAACGTTATGGTTTTCCCTGTAACAAGTCAGCAACAGGAGGCACTGTCAGTGTAGTGGAGACACTACCGCACCTGCATCCTAACTCACGCTCACGTAGCCTTGGTGCCTTCCAGCCCCGGACCCCAGCCCTTGACTACACGGACAGCTGATCATGGTTTCATAAAGCTGTGAAATAATTAGGTATGACGTTATAAGATGGGGGGGGGCTTAAAACGGAGTCAAATAATCTTTGTGGGTGGGGAAGGGGTTGAACAATTGATAGCGATCATGAATTCGCCAGACGCTACCACTCCACTCACATCAGCTCTTTCAATTCAAAATCACCATGCCTTGTGCAGGCTACAGAGGGGTTGGAGTAATGGGTGTTAGGATAGCTGTATCTGCACGACACCAAAAAACCCCTCGGACAGACATATGCTGTACATGAAATGTCCCCCAGCACGTGGCGGAGACCTTCAGATGGGCACGTGACAGAGCGACCAATGGCATCCGGAGGATGGCATGTGACGCTCGCTCACCATGTGCCCCATGCACGACCTAGCTCCTGGACGGAACAAAAAGAGACTCCGGACTTTTCCTTTATTCTCTTTGGCAATTCCGGGGGACTCCCCGCAGCAGGAGCACCAGCAGGAAACATCTCCTTCTTAAGGGCTTAGACTCGAGCTGCTTCCTAAGTTTAAGCTGATATATAGCACACATACCATTTTAAAAGATCTTGCATTTTCCTAACAGACATCCCTGCAAGGATTTATGGGCATTTACTCCATTATCCACACCTCTGGGACGGTAGCTGCTTTGGGAGCGGAATGCTGACCTGTCGGACTCTTTCTGAACAACTTGACTGTAACTGCTCTTCAATTACCCGCGCTTAGAACCCCTCTGCCTAGGATTGGAGAATTGCAGGATCAGCCCTCCTCTTCCTCTCTCCCCATATCCGTGCCCTTTGCCAAGCATCTCCGCCATGCCTTCCATCAAATGGACAAAATGTATTTGCTTTCCTGCCCTGGAACCTGGGCTCAGCTCTGACTTGCTGTGGCAAGTCAGAATGGGGCAGACGTGGGCCAGATGCCAAACTCCCAGGTGGTTCTGCTTTCCACCTCTACCTCTGCCATGAGAAGCGTCGTGCAGGCTGGCCTGATGGGAAGAAGGTGCCCTGAGTCCCATCCATTGTGGTTAAGAGGCAAGAGGTCCCCTGCCCAGCTGGAACAAGGGTGTGAATCTCCAGCGTCTGAGTAGTTGTACTGCACTTGCCATAAAGCACTGCTAAGAGGCGGCTACACTCACCTTGGTCTCTGGATTCCGCCTGGGCCAAGTCCTCCAGGGATTTCTCGAGCAGATCCGCCAGCCGGTGCAGCACCTGTGAGCGCTCCTGGGGGCTCCTGGCCGACCAGCCGGGAAACGCTGCCCTGGCGGCCTCCACTGCGGCTTCGATCTTTGAGGAGCATCAGGAAGACAATCACCTTAGGACTGTGGCTCCTGAGGTTCGAGGAACCCAGAAACCACAGCTCCACGCATGCCTAATTTTTTTCAGCCTAGTTTCAAATATGCAACACTTGCTAGTGCTGAGTTACCTGCAAAGTGGTGTTTTCGTGACCGGTGAATCAGGGCACCGCAAAAACAAAGAAGAGGGATCCGTTTTGACCAAGGTGTGCAGATGTGGCCATCAGATTATTAAAAAGAAGTTGTTTGAGGGGCGCCTGGGTGGCTCAGACGGTTAAGCACCCGACTTCGGCTCAGGTCATGATCTCGTGGTTCGCGAGTTCGAGCCCCACATCAGGCACTGTGCTGATGGCTCGGAGGCTGGAGCCTGCTTCAGATTCTATGTCTCCCTCTCTCTCTCTGTCCCTCCCCTGCTCATGCTCGCTCTCTCTCCCTCTCTCTCTCTCTCTCTCTCGAAATTAAATAAACATTAAAAATAAAAGCCATTTTAATTTTAACAGATGCACGTTTTCAATCATGTCAAAATACACATTTTTTTAATATCATAGGGAGGGGAAACTCATCTAGACATGTAGAATCTCTAAACTTTTAATCCAGCTCCAACACATCTGAGAAAGTCTAAAATTTTGCTTGAAATCATATCTGCAGGCTGTCTTTCCCCTCCGAATGACTAATTATAATAGCCATTTACTAATTTTTCTATATAAAGGGATGTTAGACACACAAATTATTTCATCTAACCTGTTCTAAAATTCTAAACCGTGCCTATTGCTATGCCCATTATGCAGATGAGGAAACTGAGGCACAGAGCGCTCAAGTCACTTAGCAGAGGTCACACAGCCAATAAGTGGCAGTATCAGGATTCAAACCCAGATCTTTGTGGCCCCCGAGACCATGGCTGGCCTTCTGTGGCACAGCCTCAGTCCCTGCCCCTGCCGGGCTCTGCCCAGTAAAAGAGGCCTGTTGGGGAGGAGGATATCTGTGTTTGAACAGATAGTTTGGAGACCTGGTTTTGGAGCCAAATCCAAAAATATACAGGGGAAGATACAGGCAAGGCCAATTCATGCAAGGTGAAACAGGTCTTCAGGTCATGGGCTGCCTTTGTCTGCCCCTTAGCAAAGTCTAAGCAGTATCTTCCAGAGAAAGCAAATCCATAGCCTGTGTCTCACCCCTCTCCCCTCTCACACACATGACAAGACTATAATAACTCACAGCTTGCTTCTACCCCTGGGCTCAGACCCAGCCTCAGAATCCTTTTCCACAGGCTTCAGGTCACCACGAGCATCTTTCTCATGTCACATGATCTGACAATTCTGCTGCCCTCTCCCCCCAAACCTGACGTACATTCCTCCTTTGCTTTCTTTATAGAAAACAGAGTCCCTCTCAGCGGGGCTGAATAAAGGATACAATGAGTCTCATTTCAATTATACATTTCTGGGGAAAAAATGGTGTTTTCATTTCAAAAGCTGAATCTCTAATGTGGACCCACAGAAACGATGAAGGAAGAATGTGGGCTTTCCACCAGAAGCTGCCACCCGGCCGAGGCCTGGGTGCCCGCCAACAAGAGGAGGGTTCATTCCTGCTGTGGTCAGTACAAAACGTCCTCTTTCTGAGGTTGTCAGTGTAAAAGCTAAGCTTTTCGCTACGCAGAGAACTCAAGTACAGTCATGTTTTCCAAGTTGTCTTAGAATACATGTGAATATAACATGAGCATACGCTAAGACTTAGGAAGCATTTACTATTTGCCAAACACTAAGGGCTTTACACATACCAGTCTGTTTAATCCTTAGAACAACACTATAAGGTGTTATTATTATCCCCATTTTATAGGTAAGGCGACTGAGGAACACAGAAGTTCAGCTCTAAGTCAAGACCATACACACTAAGTTGTGCAGCTGGTCTCTGAAGCTAGGTGGTCCGACCCCAGTCTGTGCTGATGACTTCAAGCTATCATGTAAATGCCACCATACGTGTGTGTGTGTGTGTATGTGTGTGTGTGTGGTCACTGATCTAAGCATCAGAGATGAGAACGTTAGCTCACTGTCTGTCGTCTGTGGAATAAAGGACGATGATAAAGTCTTATTTGTAGGCTGTTACGACTCATATTGGGGATAATTCCGCTGTTAGCAAAACCAGCAGCACTTTCTGTGAGTGACTTTCTGTAAAATCGGGCATGTAGTTTGTACGTGGACCGTGGTTTTCAACCCAGAAAAAGCTGGGACTTATGGGGATCAGAGAGAATATTTGCAGGGAAATCCAAAATGTTTATTTCTCTACCAGCAGGTGCTTCCATAGTACATTCTGTCTTCTGAAAAGGCATGAGCCATTAGCTGCAGAAAATATTTCAACTGAGTTTGTCATATTTGTCGTTTTTAACTTCAGTTTAGAAAACACCCTGAGACCAGGAGGACTGGAAAACACAAAGCTGGATTTCCCACATCTATCCCAGGTCATTGGAAACAAACAAAATTGTGGGTTACAGTTTAACCAATAGATTAGCCAGTATTTGCTAACTTTAATCCATAAGTCTAAAGGTTTTTTTAATGCAAGACAGATTGAAAACATTATTAACAAATGAGAAATAATAGCTTAGTATAGATGAAGGCTTGTTTATATATCTTTATTAATATATGAAGGTTACAATTATCCTTTAAACAATCTAGTTCTTTGTGCCTTAAAAAATAAAATGCATTAGGCATTAGATGAGCATATGTCCATCAGCCACATTTGTCACCCCAGACACATTTACATTGTCAATACAATAAGTGATAACTAATCAAATGTGTCTCCACCATTTTATAAAATTTCTCAAAATTAATTCAACATCAATAAAAAATTTTTAATGTGTGTGCCATTAAGCACTTTAAGAAAAAGGATGGTATTAAATTTAAACACAAAACTATATGGGAATTTGATTTTGCATTTCATCATTCAAATGATCAGTTTTACTTTACCAGATATTTTAAACACATAAGGAATTATTAAAGGATAACCTAAAATAAATCCCTGGGTTTTTACTTTTACTTGTCTTTAGAGAAATAACAAGTTTTTCAGAAAACCATGAATATAGTGGCAAGTTTAGGCAACACTTGGTAGAGAAAAGGAAACAGTAATACTGATCATTCTTAACAACTAATAGTTTTTAGTAGACACCTATTAAGGAATGTCTGAGAAATGCAGCTGTGTGTTAAGCTGCCTAGACTAATAACTTGCTTCTGCACAGTCACCTGGGCTTTGTTCCTTTCTTTTAAGAATATTGTTTAAGTTTATTTATTTATTTATTGGGGGGAGGGGCTGAGAGAGAGAATCCCAGGCCGGCTCCGCGCTGTCAGCGCAGAGCCCGATGCAGGGCTGAACCCGCGCATCGTGAGACCACCCTGAGCTAAAATCGGAAGCTTAGCCGACTCAACCACCCAGGCGTCCCAGGTAGCCCCTTTTGAAAGGTCACATGACACTGCTTCGCTTTTACCTTAGCACCTGTTTTTGCTAACCAAAAGAAACCCGAAGAGGATTTTCACTTTTATGAAAAGAGCCATTACCATAGTATGTACTTCTTTCCCAAAAGCAAAGTTGCATGACACGAACTTTCAGTAAGTGGAGGAAACAGCACTTTATGCCATTTCCACAGGTGTCATAGGAAGGCTCTCTTTTCAGATTGCGGGGGAAACCTACATCCTAGGAGTCCGATTACAAAGCAAACCTTCCCAGAACTACAATCTTCCTGTCCGCCGGTGTTTAACAACTGGGCACCTTTTCCCAATTCCCTTTGCTCCTAGAAAAGTAAGTGATGTGTAATCATCAAGACACCAAGTACATTTCAGTCTCCCTAAGTGAACTACTCACCTCTTCGTTTCCACTGTCTGGCACCCTGCAGTATACTTCCCCCGTGGACGGATCATAAGAATCGATATATGAGCTACAAGGTACAAACTTTCCATTAATGAAGTTCTCCAGCGTCAGAAGTGCCTTTGTTCCGGCCATGGTGGAGACAACTCCTGTCTTTCTCCCCACTGGTGAGGGAGTCTCCCTACCCTGAGTTTGCCTTGTCCTCACCTCCAGCCCCGACGTCCTCATTTACCAATCAGGGAATGTGGGAGGTGTCCTGACACTCAGGAGCCTTCCAGTCTCCCAACTCTAAGTGAAGAGAGTTCTGGAATATTTCACAGACTTCCGGTACATTTTGAGAAAGGGATAATAACCTGGTAAAGTAACATCAGCTTATGTGTTCATGGCCCTTTGAAATGTCAGAAGGTATCTGTGTATCTCCTTTTATTGCATTCACACTATAAGCTTTATTGCTCAAACACTGAGGGCCAGACCCTGAAGCAAGTCCTTGACACGAATGTACTCATTCATTCCGCACAGCAACCCTATATAAAGTAAGTGTCATTAAATCCCTTCTATTGTAGAAGAAACTGAGCCTCAAAGAAGTCAATTTGTCCAAAATCGCAGTTAGTAAGGAATGACCATTAATCCGTTTTTCTCCTAATCATGTTTTTCCTCCACACATCGCTGCCCTCACCCCACAGAGGTAACTGAAGACAGACTCCCTCTCTCCATCACTCATCTGTGTTTCTCTTTACCTTGCCTGCCTTCTCTCTGACCGGTCCCTCCATCCCGAAACCAGCAGCTTACCAGCCAGATGTGCCATGGCAATAAAGACGCAAGCCAAATATATGCATGGTGTGTATAACACACAAGGGATTCATATCTGTGATGTGTGTAAGAATTTCTATAAATTGGTGAGGGAAACGAACAGCCCGGTTGAAAAAAATAAGCAAAGGCTAAAAAAAAAAAAAAACCCAAATAACAACAATTCATAGCAAAAGGGATGCGATACACGATTGGCTAATGAAGGTATGAGAGGTGCTCGGTCACACTGTTAATCAAAGGATGTGAAGGACACAGAGATGCCCTGTCTCCCCAGTGAGAGACGGTACACATCCTCCGTGGGCAGCATGTACTCTTCCGTGGGCTCCCACGGTGGGAGGGCTTACAACACAACACCTGGGAAGGCAACCAGGCAGTTGTCAACATTTTTTTTATATTTATTTATTTTGGGGAGACAGAGAGACAGAGCGCAAGCAAGGGAGGGGCAGAGAGAGAGGGAGACACAGAATCTGCAGCAGGCTCCAGGCTCTGAGCGGTCAGCCCAGAGCCTGAGGGGCTTGAACTCACGGACCGCAGGATCATGACCTGAGCGGAAGTCTGACGCCTAACCCGCTGAGCCCCCAGGTGCCCCGGAAGTGTCAACATTTTAAATGTGCCCACTTGGAGTCTGGTAAGCCTAGGAATCTCTCTCACAGAATTTCTTGCTCTGGTGCAAGTAGCTAAGTCACAGGACATCTGTTTGCATGGTAATTTAAAAACTGTGAAAACCGTAGAAATGTCTACCAACCGATGAATATGGTAATTAGTTGTGACACCCACAATAAGGAATGTTATGGAGCCATTGAAAGGATGTGCTATTAGGTGAAAAAAGAGAGCTAGTGGATAACATGTCCTATATAATCTCTTTGGATGCCTATTTGATTGAGGGGATGGAAAGGGGAGGGGGAGTGAGGGTTTTTTCCTCTTTTTACTCCATACAGTTTTAAATTTCATGAATACTTTGTGATGAACCTTTATCAATATGCCACTTTTGTAGTTAAAATTTTGTCAAATGTGAGATATCAATATTCGAAATTCATTGGTCATTTGGGATGTTTCCTGGCTGTGCACAACCTTAGATCCTTAGGGCTTCCCTGCTCCCCCCTTGTTGGTCTCTAAATAATCTCCAAAATTCTTGCTAATCAGTGATGCAAAGCGAGAGGCTCTTCTTTCCCTAAGCTTCAGGCCTCTCTGCAGATCTAAAGGTGACCTCCGATGATGGTCTGGTGAACAAAGGACCAAGCTCCTGGTGTTCTCTCATTTGCAGCTCAAAGCCTCTGCAGAAACTTGGGAATTACAACTCATCTTATTTAATTTAGCCACGTTCATTCTCGAGGCTCCTTCTCCTCACCCAGTAAGAAGCAGGGAAGAAGTTTAAAGGCAAACATTTTTCTTCTCCGCCTAAAATTCTTAACGTTCCTTTTCCAGGTGACTTTTCTTTTATCTTGTGTTATTGACGTGGGGTCATTTCGAGGTGCTTCTATTGGATACCTGGTTACATATAAATAGAAACATACATGCAGGGACAAATACAACACGACATGCAGCCAGCGTCCATTCCGGAACCCAGAAACCAGGGTGGGTATTTCGAAGTCTAATGCAGGGAAATGGTTACATTGTGTTGGAAGGCCGAGAGAGGGGCCAGTCCGGCTGAAGCGCCCAGACAATAGTTAACATCAAAGAGCAGATGTCATGTCTGAGCCCCGGGAACACAAGAAGAGGTGGGTAGAGAGAGCTCCTGCAGGGCTGTGGCGTGGCCACAGCGGGCTGGGCCAAGGGCAGCTGGGGATTGCATCCAAGTGTACTCCCACTGGCAGCAACTGCCCCCGCCGCACCCCAGCGGTTGCTCTAGCGCCAGGGCCTGCACCGTGAGAATAGAGGGCTCAAGGCTTTAAGTTCCACTGACAAAATTATGAACACCAGGTGTGCAATATTCTGAACATCAGTAGTTCTAGAATACTTCAGAAGGCGACAGGGTAATTTTCACCTCATAGGCAACAAATTGTTCTTTTTGGAATTATTCCCTGATTTTCCACGATCCTCTCGAGTGCTTTTGGAACTCTGAACCACCCAGGTGGGCCGCAGTACCAAGAAGTACACGGTGTGTTTGTTACGTAAGCATCTCCAGATGCCATAGGGGAAGATACGGGTACCTTCCAGTTCTCTCTCTCACCTTCGTCTAGGGGAGACAGAGCACGAAGCAAGTCACAATGGAGTAGCGCGTGGGTACCCCGAAGGCGGGCACTATGCTTGGCAGAAACCCAGGGCGGGGAATGGAGAGCTCCACCTGAGTTCAGTGAAGGGACCAGAGGACTGGACTTCGGAGGTGGATAAGGAAGGAAGGGGAGGAAGTTAACAGGCAGACAAGAAGTGGGTAATTCCAGGCAGAGGCAATACCTGTTGAGGACCCCACCATCCTTCTGTCTCCACAAGAACCTTGACCAGAAGACACTCTCCTCTCTGCCCCCTCCTTCTCCCCTCTCCTGGTTCTGCAGCCTTTTAATGGGCTCAAGTCTCTCTACTATAATATTGTATCCTGTGACTATATGCAGGAAAATACAAGCCTGATAAAGTGAAAATGTGTCTCTTCTCCAGCACGAGAACACTGCTCTGAGAATCACAAAATTAAACCCAGTTAATGGGGTACCGAATTGATATTACAAAGGCCACACACTACCTCCTGCCCCTTTATTGGAGGCATAATTTAATTGACTTGTTTGTTCTGTCTTACACTATTATTTCGACCTATTTAAGTGGTTTCCAAGCAAGGAAAAAGCTGCGTCTGAGAGCTGAAAGCTGGCCTGGCCATCTTGGGTAGGCCATGGTGTTCTTCTATCAAACATTAACAATTCCTAAATCTCTGACATCAGACAAGGTCACTGTGATCCTGAAGTGAGATCCTATAACCGCTGAGCGAAAAGCACTGGGCAAACCGTAAAAACGACTCAACGACTCCCTCCTGTGGCTATCTTGAGTGACTGCTGTTGCTTTACTTGCAGCCATTGCCCCTCCCTCAAAGGGTACCCAGTTGCAGAATTACTTCCACTTTCTGACAGCCACCAAGTCCAGAAGAAACCCTTGCTCACTCGAACCCTCCTCAAAATTACCTAGGTGTGCCCAACTCTCTATCAAGCCCCTCTGTACCCCTTCTTACTAAGAAGCACCTAGTCTCCATGGTGGATGGCCTCTCTTGCTGCAGCCAGCATCGGTCATTTTGACTAGTCGTGTCCTGGTGGTCTTTGACTGATGACATCAACAAATGATGGGCACCAACATATGCTTGATGCAGATTCTTCTACTATGACTTCCCGGAAGTTTTGAACTACATCTGTGACCTGAGTATTGTATATCCTGCCTCCCCACTTCTCCACCCCCTCCCACAAGGACTCCTTACCTTCACCTCTGAACACCACCGCCTGGGTGGCTCAGTCGGTTGAGCGTCCGACTTCAGCTCAGGTCATGATCTCGCGGTCCGTGAGCTCGAGCCCTGCATCGGGCTCTGTGCTGACAGCTCAGAGCCTGGAGCCTGTTTCAGATTCTGTGTCTCCTTCTCTCTCTGACCCTCCCCCGTTCATGTTCTGTCTCTGTCTCAAAAATAAATAAACGTTAAAAAAAATTTTTTTTTTAAATGAATAATGAAATTAGTGGCCTACACCCCCTCTAAAAGTTTTACACATTTGGCACCTGTGTCCCTTTGTCTTCTAAAATGTGGTGCTCCACAAAAGACTGGGGTTAATTTTTCATTTCTTTGAAGATGACATTTTTGGGGGAGGTTTGCTTTATTCCCAAGATTTGTTTTAATCTTAGAAAAGTCAACGTTTTGACAGAAAAATGTGGTTGTGATCCCTTTGTGATGTTTTGCACAAAAATGGTGTGCTCTCATCACGTGCAATCTTGGGGTCTCTCTGTCCACCATTTTCATCTATCTGTGTTCTAGGAGTGGCTCCAAAGGAAAACTTACAGGTCATCAAATTTACAATGATCACCTGTTTTCAGTCTTCAGCAAGTATTTGGATGTTGCTGTTATGATTTAGGTCGGTTCCTATGCAGTCTCTTCCAGCCTATCCTGATTCCTTCCTCAACTCAGCAAAATCTCCTGCTGAGACACCATGCAGCAGTTCAAGAAAACTCGTGTTTGTTACGATGCACCTGAAAGGTCTTTGCCTCCAGCTGCTCAGAACACTACTCTACATGTAGGGCTGATTTTTCACAGCCCTCATGCTGTGTTTCACAATCATCTTTAAGAGAAATCTATCGGAGCCCAGTGTTAGAAAGCAAGAGTGCATTACGTGCCCTCAGCCACCTCACAGTCCATTTGCATCCTGGTAGAATCTCTGGCAGCCAGTTGATTTCTTGTCCGCATTCTGAAACACAAGCACATTTCAATCTCCGCAGCTCAAGAGGC